ATTTGGTTCGAATACTGGACAAACATTGTGTAAATTGAGAAAAGCTCTTTATGGACTGATACTCTGTTTCACTTTCTCTTCAATTGTAGTGGTCCTTAGAATTTTCAAAGGGCAGGATGATACTCTGTGTCCCACGATACCGCAGTGAAAACAAGTTTGATGAAGACCCTCATATTCTATGTTCAATATCATTTTTCCCACCCGAATTTTAGATAGCAGTAGTTTTTTTAAGTCAATTTCCACACAAATTCTGGCAAACTTACCCCTGGTAGTCCACGTAGTATTGTAGTCCACCTTCAACAGAGTACCCACCAATTTTTCTATCTTCGCAAGAATTTCTTCGTCAAAGTGTTCGATTGGCAAACCAGGATGTTAATCCAAACGGACGTAGAAGGGACCATAGCAATAGCCGCAACAAAATTTGATTTCACTTTTAAACCATTAGGTAGTGATCCATTATTTTCCAGGGGTCCTCGGTTAGGACTTTGAGTCTATCATTTGAGCTTTGGAATTTTACGGCATAAAACCCTTTTCCTAGGTCAACACAATCAAATTCACTTTCAAGATTCCACATGGACACAATTCTTGAAATTGAGATCTTGTATGCAATTGTTTTACGCAAAACTTTTATTATTAGTGCCTTTTTCCAAGGTTGGAAGATTCTTCCTTTCATCTCGTTTGAAATCTTGATGGTTGGTATTTCATCTTCTTCAAAATCTTCATCAACATCTGAAGCTACCTCTTCTTCTTCTTCTTCAAATTTTGACGTGTTCGTGAACAGAGCAGAATCCATCTCCGTATCTTTCTATGATCTTGCCCATGTGTTTTCTTCTTGACTGACTCCTCCTTTGGATGCTCTTACCCGTTTATTACTTTTGTTTGGTTCATTTTTCGTTAGTTGACGTCCTCGTCACTTCAGTGATGGGCGACTCTTCCATCTGTAAAGATTTGGTAGTTAAGACTTAGAGATTTAGGAAATAAAAATATTGGAGAATCCAGAATCATATATTGTAACAATTTTTACTATACTTTTAACACGATTTCTTATTTCCCATAATGGAAAATTTCATGATTGGAGTTTAGCTTCCCTATTTTATATAGTTAAGTTTGATTGATTAATATATTTTTGAAGTTTTTTTTAAGAATAAAATTTTCTAGAAATATATATTTAGATGTATTATAATGATATTAATTTTTATTTATATCATATTAATATATTATTGAGTGTTGTATTATATTTTAGTTATTATAATTATATTGTAAATATAATTATACCATAATCAATATTCTAATGTTAATATCGTACTTAGAACACTACTTTATTTACTAAATATTGCGGCGGGTTCTCAATTTAAATACTATCATTTTTTCACCGGGTATAAAGCATATATATTTTTTTCATTAATTGAAAGCTTAATTATAAAATAAGTGCTCAAATTATACCGTTTTTTCTAAATAGGTGTTTAATTATTTTTAATAATCCAGATGCCTAACGTTACAAACGATACCATTTTAGTCGTCAGAGAAGTAACAACCGTTAAAAAATTCTATTAAGTGACACATGTTATGCTATAGTAATTTTGAAAAAAATTTAAAATAAAAAATAAATTATATGCTTTTTAAAAAAATGAAAAAAAATTTAAAAAACCCTCAAAACTTTGAAAACTGTAATTTCAATCCTTAAACCCACATTGGTTATCGCCGTTTGACGTTGATCAGACCTCTACCAGAACCTGCACCCTACGGCAAGCTAAACCCGACCTTAAGTATTGCGTCTCCGACAAAGGAAACGACAAAATCGCAACCCAAAAACGCGTCTCCAACGAACTCAAACCCCCAAATTTGCGACACCCATGCGATCCAACGACACATACGAAGGCAAGGGAGATGGCAAGGGCAGCGTCGGTGACTGTGGTCGACAAATAGGTTAGGGTTAGGGATTTTAGATTTGGGGTCTTTAGGGATCTAGGGCTTTTTGTAATTTTAGAATAAATAGGATTTTTTTTTATAAATAGGCTTAATCATAAGATAAGTGCCCAAACTATAATGTTTTTCACGAATAGATGCCTAAACTATTTTTTGCATGATCCAGTGCCTAACGTTACAAACGTTACCACTTTAGGTGCCCAGGCCGTAACTGCCATTAGTTTTCTCCGTTAAATGACACGTGTAATATTCTCATAAATTTGATTTTTTAAATTAAAAATATTATTATATTTATAAAAAATCTTAATTTCTATTTAATTACAAAAACCCCAAATTCATAAAAAATCTTGTCAATAACTTAACCCTTCGCCACCGTCCTTTTCAATCATGAACACAGTCGCCGACGTAGTCCATGTCATCTTCCTAGTCATACACCACCGTAGCTGTCGCTAATTGGTCGTCAAAATTGCACGGGATCATGATTTTCATCCTAGGGTTCGTGGGGTACAAAAAGTCGATTGGTCATCAAAAGGTCACGATTTCATAGGGGTATTGATCGTCGGGGGAGGTTAGGTCGGGTGGAGCTTGGTTGGTTGTAATGGGCGATGATCGATATGAGTTTAGGGGTTGAAATGAAGGTTTTCAAAGTTTTGAGGCTATTTCAAAAATTTGTGTTTTTTAATATATAATTTTAATTTTATTTTAATTTTGATTACAATTTTTAAAATTAACAAAATGTGACACGTGTTACTTAACAGAAGAAACTAACGACGTTTATGGCTAAGGTACCTAAAGTGGTAACGTTTATAACGTCAAGCACTGAGATCATTCAAAAAATAATTTAAGCACCTATTCATGAAAAATGCTATAGTTTGGGAACATATTTTATAATTAATCCGTATAAATATGTTTATTACACTTTTAGGTTCCTAAACTATATCTCTAATTGACTTTTGGTGCTTAAAGAATTTTTTATTAAAAAATAAGTGCGTAATATTTTCTCTGTTACACTTCTAGGTGTCTATCGTGAAAAATTATTAAGTGATATGTGTCATGATTATATTTTTTATTTTTTAAAATAAAATATTATTTAAAAACAATTTTTTTTAAAAAAATCTTAACATGATATGCATCACTTAACGATTGTTTTTTCAACGGTAGGTACCAGGGTTTCAAATAACGAAACGAAAATGCTATAGTGGCCTTTATTTTGTGGTAGCGTCACCGTCCGAAATTGATATTGTCTGAAATAGCGGTGTGAACGCAGAATCACACCAATAGCGGCCGATAGTGGCCGTAACTTAACGAGTAACGATCGATAGCGGCGATAACAACCTGATGTTCATGTTATTTTCCGTTACACCAAATCAGTCAAATACAACAAAAAAGGTGATTCGAAAACAAAATAGAAAAAAAGTATAGGAGAACTCACCTTCATCGCGGGTAGCTGGAAAGGTTGAGGGTCATCGGAATCCAAATTATCGAAAGGTAATTTCTCAAATCTAGGGCTTGTTGTTTGGTTTTAGGAAAAATGAGTTTTAGATTCGAGTTTGGGGGGACGAGACGAGTCTTCTAAGACTCTTGGACCATCCCCGACCACCGTGGTTGGTCGTCGCCAGTGTCCATAACCGATGGACTACACAGCCGAGGGGGCTCTAAAATTTTCCTTAGTTTTGAGCAAAATGAAGAAATGAAATGTGGGTTTCAAAACCCAACTTTTGGGTTATAAACAACCATATGTGCGACGCCGTTTTTAGAGGTTGGGTTTTAATGAATTCGGCACATGGGTAAATCACTCAATGAGACCCTTTCCATTTGTAAATTTTCCTTGTAGTCATCAAATGAAAATTTCATCTTTTCGGTTCAAGCTTATAATTTTGTTTCAATTTCAGTTTAGTCCACTGATTAAAACCTTTATGTATTTTAATTTGGTCTCCAATTTTTATCCGTGTTGCAATTTAGTCACTTTTCGAGACTTTGTTGATCTTCTGATTTGGATCTTTTATTTTACACATGTTCATTTTAGTAAGTTATAATATGTTATTTTCATAAATGAATCATAATGGGTAATTTATTTTTATACATTTTAATTTTTTTTAGAGTTTTTTGTATGTTGATAGTCTTATTTCTTTAAATAATAACGTCTCTTTAAATAATGTCTGTTTAAAACTATAACTATAATTATTATATTTTAGGATAAGTTGTGCAGATTTAAAAAAAAATTCACGATTGCGACACCCGCAATGACTGCGATGACATCCGTTATGTTCGCAACCGCGATAACGCGACGCGACCGAAAACACGGCCGCGAACGCTATTTAAATCACTGGTAGGTACCAGTGATTTTTAATGAAAAATTCTTTAGGCACCAAAAGTCAATTTGAGATATAGTGTAGACACCTAAAAGTGTATTAAGCCTTATAAATATAATAAATTTTTAATTTTTTTTTTTTAAAATTTCAAAATTACTATACGTGATACGTGTTAGTTAACATATTTTTTTAAAAGCATTTACTCCCCGAATACTTAAAATGGTAACGTTTGTAACATTATATACTTAAAAAAAAGTTATTAATAAAATTGATTTTGTTAACCCAAGTCTTAGGGTAATAGGTTTTCCAGCGAAAATAGAATACAATTCCTTTAGAACGTGCCCCCCTCTCTTTCTTTCAAATCAATTCATCGAGATCTATTGGAAATCCAAAGGTAAGAAATTATAATTTTGTTTGTTTTCTATTTGATAAATTATATTTTATGCAAATGAAAATGAAAATGTCTTGCCATTTGATACCCGGAAAGTGATTCAGTTGCTTTTCGCTGAATTTTTCTTCGACTCCATATAGGCAAATAGTTATCTTTAGGTTTAATACTGCACATTTTAATTGTCATTCATATATGTAGAATACATGTTTCTTTAATTTTCCCGGTGATGAAACAGTCCCGTTAGTTTCAGTTTCTAGAGTTGCAATTTCTTTAACATTTGGAAATTTGCCTTATTTTTAGTTTCATTAATTTATTTGTTAAGTTTCGAAAATGTATTCCATATTTGATATGAATTACATAATTTTCATCAGAACTCTCTCACATTGATTTTAAAGAAGGATAGTTAATCTAGTTATGTCTGGAAGAAATCGTGGGCCACCGCCTCTGCCGAAGAAAGGGCCTCCTCATCCCGGATTACTGCCTCCAGTACATGAACCTCCATATGCAAGAGGGCTAGGACCAAGGCCACCACATCCAGCCTTACTTGATGAATTACGTGAAAACCAATTTGGGTTGGGAGCGTTGGGTCCTAGAGGCCTCCCTCCCCACCCTGCGATCTTTGAGGATCCTCTTGCAGCTCAACTGCAAGATATTCAAGGCCTCCTAGCGGACAACCAGAGTCTGGCAGCTACTCATGTTGCATTAAAACAAGAACTGGAGGCTGCTCAGCATGAGTTACATCGCATGGCTCAATATGCAGATTCTTTGAGAGGGGAGAAGGATGCTCAGATGAAGGAGATGTATGATAAGTCAGTTCGATTGGAAGTTGATCTTCGTGGGGTGGAGTCCATGCGAGCTGAGCTTGTTAAGGTTAATGCTGATATTAAGCAGCTTAATGCTGTGAGGCAGGATCTGACAGGTCAGGTTCAAGTCATGAGTCAAGATTTGGCTAGATTTACTGGAGAATTGCAACAGGCTCCTACGTTGAAGGCAGAGATTGAAAATGTGAAACAGGAACTTCATCGTGCAAGGTCACAATTTACTCTCTATCTATTTTCTTTTCTTCTGCGTTATTTTTACCAGTGACTCCCTCTGAGAATAAAAAATAGTTGCATGAATGGGGTAGATGTTTTTGAATCATTTATGTGCCTTTGTTAATTTGTTTTGAGGACATCAGTTTACTGATGTGTTTGTGTGTGTGTGTGTGTGTCTTTTTGGACATGAAGATCTGCCATTGAGTATGAGAAGAAAGGATATGCGGAGAATTATGAACATGGTCAAGTGATGGAGAAAAAATTGATCTCAATGGCTCGGGAGTTGGAAAAACTTCGTGCAGAGATTGCGAATGCGAATGCAGGGAAGAGAAGTCATGCTGCTTCTGGTAGTGGTGGTAATCAAGGTCTGTAGGCCTTCCATGAGATAATTGTTTCAGTTTACTTTTTCCATCAGTAATGACCTTATCTCCATGTCTTTTGCTTCCTGTTTCTCACTTTCAGCTGCTTCTCCTTCTGGTTTTCAATTTTTAGGACATGATATTTGTTTACAAGTTTTTCTATTAGAGGCTTGGTTGGTTTTCAATCTGGCTTGAGGCTATCATGTGTATCAACATTGAAATTACACAAATCAGTTTTTAGAAGTTCAATCTAATTTACTCATTCAATCTGCCTTTTTATCTTTTTAATGCTAATTTCTATTGGCCGAAGCTCCTCAACATCTTATTTAACATGGGGTCTAGTTTGTTTCATTAGTTCACCTAGTGAGTCATATTATTTGACTAGTGATGATCCTTAAGCTTTCGAGGTTTGATGTACTGGTAAGGAGCTTGATTTTTCTGTCTATGTAAGTTATTAACAATATTTTTTTTCCAAAAAATTCAGTAGTAGCAAGTTATAAAGCAAATTATGGGAACCCTGAAGCTGGATATACTGGGAACACTTATCCTGTCACCTATGGCATTAATCCTGTAAGTTATGCTGTTTTATATATGTCTTGACTATTTTGAATGTGTGCAGGTTTAAATTTATATGGACTTGTATGTGAGCTGCATTTGCAAGTTATATATTCATTGATTATTGTTAAAAGAATGTTTATTTTTCTTCCTTTTATTTGAGGTACAGGGTGGCGTGGATGGTTATCCTCAGTACGGACCTGGTGCTTGGGGTGCATATGACATGCAGAGAGATCAAGGACATCGCTAGTGTGATTTTTACATTCATGCTGCAACTGATTAGTTCTCTAGGCTTGGGAAGTGTTATAAAATGATAGGCTTCTGGAATTGTACCCAAAAAATGTGATAATTTATACTAGCTTGAAATTTCTGTATGCTGTTTTCTGCTTGATATTATCTGCTGCAAATATTTTGTCAGTTCTTTTATGATAAAAATATATCAATTTGATAATTTGGTCTTCATTGATATTTTTTGAATTTTTAATTTTGATAAATGGAGAAAGATTAGACCTTGCCATGCCTTATTGATGCTAGATGTTTGGTTTTGAAGAATAGGAATCATTAAAATTCATGTGGATGAAGCCTATTAATGCCTGCTATTGCTTTCTTCTTCCTCTTCCATATCTTTTGAAACATGAGCCTATTCAACTGTACTTCTTTTTATTTGCAGAAAAGCCCCTATTCTTCCGTCTCTGGCACAATTTAGCAACATATTGATCTAATTTAGCCAGCCTTTCTAGATTGTCTTTTTTCTGTTTTCTCAAGGGTCTCTTTGTCCCTACTGTCCTGTCTCTGGCACAATTTAGCAACATATTGATTTAATTTAGCCAGCCTTTCTAGATTGTCTTTGTTCTGTTTTCTCAAGGGTCTCTTCCGTTTAGGATTGCTGTTACATCTATGCTGGCCTTATTTTTGGCTCATTTGGGAGTTCCCTACATTTGCTTTACCCCATAGGTTGGTAGCCTTCCTATGTTCATGCATTTTTACCCCATTAAGTTCTCATAGAATCACTTAAAAGTTTACATAATGGTCTGTGCAAACAGGCAAGGGGTTTCATTACTTTATCCCATTTGTTGCTTAACCTATTTTACTATGTAAGATGATGTTTTCCGTAATGCAGAAAAAAAGAATTAAGGAAAAAATGAAAAACAGATTTCAAGCTTATCAAATGACTTTTTCTGTTCTATTTCTAGATAATATTCAGTCTGTTTTGATATTTTCCTTGGCTCTGTGCCACTGATTCCGTTTATTTAGGTTCTCTGAAGTTTTTCTAACTCAAGGAGAGTTAAATAATGTTTGCCAGACATGCCTCTGGTGTTGCTCCTAGAATTCCAGCTTGAGTAGATTTCTGGTCTTCATATAACGGTTTATATATATATATGCTCCTAGAATTCCAGCTTGAGTAGATTTCTGGTCTTCATATAATGGTTTCTATATATATATATATATATATATATATATATATATATATATATATATATATATATATATTTCTTCTTTTCTTTATTAGGTAGAGCTACTTAACTTTTTTCCTCTAATTTGGTGCTTAGTTTTGTCTAACCTTTCAGTTTAACCAAGTATAAGATAATAGAAGAATACCCTAGCAACCTTTTTTTTGTGCAATTATGTGATTCTAATATTTGTTGCATCTTGTTCATTTGTTCTGGAATTTAGCCTTAAGATCTTTTGTAAGACTATGCCATTGGACGATTTACCTAAATTCTAGATTACCAGTTGTTTGTAAGAAGTAAGAACACCAAGAAAGAGCACATTTCACTCCCTATTCAGAAACTAGCCTTAAGACCTTTTGTCAGATTGTGCCATTGGATGTTTTACCTAAGCTGATCATATGCATATCCTAAATTTAGGTTATGTAAATTTTATCAAATATTAGATGTGTTCTTTTAATGTTGGCAGATGATATACCTTTCCTAAGTTTAGCTTGTGTAAATTTATCTGGGAGGTCACCTATGAAAACAAATGAATGTTGTGATGTAGGACGTTTTAATTGGACATATTTATTATTAGTGAGCGAAGTAGCGGACACCTGGCGTTGGCCTGTCTTTAGCATTGATTTTACAAAGTCTGCCACCTAGGATATCAGAGCAACCCAGCAGGGTTTGTGACCTGTTTTTGGAGATCACTGCCGCCTTTATCAGAGATTTTTTTAATGGGAGTAGGATCATACTCACCATGGTTCCTACCATCTGGCTTTCATTGTTGTATTTGTATCACTTACACCTAGCTGGCTTCTCTTGTCTTCTGGTGGTCTGGTTATATCAACTGTTTGATTGTATGGTCTATACCATGTTGGTTCCTTTGTAACTTCTAGTTTGACCAGGGAAACTGCAGAAATCTGCTAATGAAGGTTAGTTCCTCCCTGGCTAATGCTATAATTCAAAATAAGGAACGTTCTCTAGAATTGGTACAAGCTGTGTACGAACACTTCTGCTCGAGTGTAAAGAAAAAGTAATTGTTCTTGTTATGATAAATAACATTGTATCAATTGTGTTTTCAGTTTATCTGTAAGTCTAAGAAATATGAGAAACACCCTAGTCCTACTTACATGGGATTATGTGTTTTCAAGGCTAACAAAAGAACCTACTTGCTTCAAGTTAGTTACACTGGACAGGACTGGGAATATAGAGTTGTAATGACTAACGCCCATAAATCATGATTTGGCAATAAAGCAGCTGATGAAAAATTATATTACGATGTTATAAACTATCTGGGAGTTTGAAATTAGACTGTCAGTTTTCCGGTAACAGGCCATTTTTTTTAGTGAAAGACTATGTGCTTCAGGATTTATTGGAATATTCTTATCCCTATAGCAGTGGCTAATGCGTTCTCTATTGATGCAGGAGTATCCAAGATTAATTTGATTATTTTGTTTTTAGGATTAGTTTTTTTACGTTAGTTTTTTCCCCCGTCTTATCTTTTGTGTTCTACTAAATAGTTATGTGATTAGGATAGGACTCTTAGTGAATGTTTTAGTAGGAAGTAATTGGACCGTTAGTGATATTTCATTATTGATACTATAGTAGAGGGTTATTAGGGAATTACCCTTATTATTTTCTTGAACTAATACTAATAAATTAGAGGTTTTATAACCCTAAGATTTCTAAAGTTCCATTTTCTTTCCTATTCATGTTTTAGCCTTTTTCAATTGTTGCTGTTTTCCCTCTTAACCACATCATCTATCTGATAGTTTTTCATGTTTCTTGAACTGATTCTGTGAATAAGCTTAACGGCTGTCCTCTTGATTTTACATCACATCTGGATTAAAATTTGTTGCCTACATGATGCTCTATTACTACCATTAGCAGTTCAGTTGCCTCTGCCCTTCTTCATCTTCAAAATCAAATTGCTGGCATTTTTTGTGCATGTACCCACCTTTCCATGGGTGAAACATCAAAGTGCCTACTTGTCAACTAACACTAACTAATCTTCTTTTACTAATTAGTACTCTTCCCTTTTCTTTTGCGCGTTATGATTTCTATTGCCTGTTTGGGTGATTGGGTCCTAGGCAATGAACCTAATAGAAGTACTTGGCTGGCCTTTGAAAATTGTTTCTTAAGTGATTACTGGTCTGTTTCTTTCTCAAATTGCCATATTTGAATCTAATTCGGCCAATCTGGCTATTCATCAGATAAGCTATCAGCTATTGCTCGTTTTAAGTGCTTATTGAAATGTATGGTCTTGGGAAGATTTTAGTAGATGTTGTGCAACCTCTAGGTATGAGCTTTATCACTCAATTCTTATGCTCAAGGAGAAATTTCCTTTTTGCATGCCTGTAAACTTCTGGTCTACTCCCCCCATTCCCTCTCTTTTAATACTACTACTAGTCTACTACAATGAGATAAATTTCTGTGGATTACTCATCTGAGGTGGGATGTTACCCCGTGTAAAATCGTTGTGTAAGTTGCTGCGAGACCTGTTAAGTTGCTGAAGTGCCACCGGTTAAAAAGTGGAGCAAATTGTTGAGAATATAGGATGTCATGGATTGGAAGTACCTCCTCCATGCCTTTATTGTGTGAAACTTTGGTCGGGAGAAACTCTTAAACATCTCTAAGGGATTCCATCCATGTCTTGTTCCAATTGGAAAAACAGTGACTAAGCACTGGAAGAAGCATATTCATTGCATGAGTTATGCAGCTTTGCCAAGACATGGTCAACAATGATGATGCATGATGAGTTTTCTAGTCAAGTGATGTACATTTCTGAGAAAATTGTGTTGTTTTCATATTTCCCCTTGTTGGTTGTGCTTGTAAAAAGATTATTATTATTTCTTCTTTTTAGACCCAGTTTACCAAACAATTCCCTGGTTAGTAAAAATTTGTTTGGTGTTTCTATTCATGGTTGGGTGGGGCCTTGTAATGTTCCTATATGGTTGTATGTTTTTTATTTTCATTCGTAGAAAGTATGATGTCTCAGTGTGAGCTGTGGTGATGATTTCGTTACCTTTTCTATTGCAACTATTTGGAATACTTATTTTGCTATGTATTGCCTTTTTGCGACATTCTTCTGAATATATTGCCTTTTTGCAACATTCTTCTGAATATATTGCTATTAACTAGTGGAGGATGCTCCAGTTAATTTAGTTTGTTCAATTATGTAGCAGTCTTGGTTTGTTCTTGTCGAATGCGAGTTTTATTAGACAATCGAGGGGGTCATAATTGGAATGATAACTAGAGAGGGGGTGGGAACATAATTGGAAAGATAACTCGAGGAGGGGGTTATCGAGGGATTTTTGGTTAACAATCATTGAATGTTGGTTTGCAATAGCAGTAAGTAATATCTGATAGGAAAGTAATTGCTGCATTTTCACCTTAGGGCTGGTGTTGTAATATAGCTGGGTCATTAGAAGAAATCCAAATGGTAGAAGTGTATTATCATAATATAGATTTTATAATTGTAAGGAAAGATTATATAAGTTGGCTGTCTTTTATTTTTATGTCAAGACTAATTCCCTCCCTGGATTTGCAACTTGTACTTCTTTGGCACTGAAGTTGTTTGATTTTGCTAGGCATTTGCCATTATATCCTGGAAGAACATTTATCATTTTGCTATCTTTATGGATGTAGTGCCATCAATTTTTCTGATCCGGAATTGTCAACTGTAGCACGTGATTTAAATTACCTGACCTGTTGCTGCTATTCTGGTATCCAAGCCTGGTATTTCATGTTGTTTTCATATTCTATAACTTCTTGTGCCTTTCCATGCTTGGTTCTATGCAATTTTGTGAAGTGATACTGATTTATCATCTATCTAGAACTTACATGACTGCTTTATGGTCTTCATTAGTAGTAATCAGTCGAACATTGTAAATTTAACTGTTGGCTTAAGGAAAAATATAAACGTGGTTCTTATCTTCTTGCTCTGTTTTCCCTCCCAATTTTTGTTCTGTATCCCCTCTTCAATTTTACTCTATATGTACGTGTCATATTATTA